ATGCTCTTACATACTTAAATAAGTTAAATAAGCTGCCACCTATCAGAGAAGCAACAAGCTCACATGGAAAAAGCATACCAGCCTGTGGGATCATGAGGTGTCGCCGGGATCAGAAGACCAAACAAACAAACAAGTATTTTTGAGGACAAGGGGGGGTCGGGGCAGAAACCCAAAACCCACCTGTAGATGATGGAACATCCCCTCACAGGCTCACAGGGAAGTGATGAGTCAACCAGGGCGCAGTTTAGCGCTGATGAAACACACAATATTCCTCTAGTTCCTTAAGCCTTCCTCACACCCCACTATGATGACCCCAGTGCTGCCTTTCACTGCGGGCTCGACCAGAGCATGCGCACAGGTAAACACATGAGCTAAGAGCTCACGACACACGGAATCCGGGAACAGGAGTAGCAATACCAGGAGGGTAGGGGGAAGGTGGGAAGTGAAGGAAGGGGGAACCAATCACAATGATAAACACATAACCATCATCACCACCCCCAAAGGGATGAACAACAGAAACTGTGGGGGGAGACAGATGTAGATCTAAGATATGAAAATAATAATATATAACTCATCAAGGGGTCACAAAGGGTGAGAGGGGGGGAGGGAAAAAACAGGAGCTGCTACCAAAGGCTCAAATAAAAAGCAAATGTTTAGAAAATAATGATGGCAACATATGTACAACTATGCTTGATACAATTGATGTATGGATTGTTTTAAGAGCTTAAGAGCCACTGATAAAATGATCTTTTAATAATAAAAAAATAAGACTTCAAACGCAAGAATAAGTCAATCATGAAGTTATTTCCTTGCCTTTTTAAGAGCTTGCTGTTAAATTGTCGAGCAAGTGGGAACCTTGGTCTTGATCACGAGAATCGTGCTCAGGGCTGGAAAGGATGGGTTTTGATGGTGTACATACATCAAGGGGGTTGAGAATAAAAGTCAAAAAAGAGTAACATGAGACCATGAATTAGTCTGGTCGTAAAATAAGAGGGATGAGTATGAGAAAGCATAATGGTTGAGAAAAAAACTCACCAGAATATGAACCCCTCAGGAAATGAGACCAAGGAAAAGCTGATACAGGTAAAAGCAGGAGTATCCAGGAAGCCAAGAGGGCAATGAGACAACGTCAAGATAGAGAGAGGTTGCTGTCCACGTCAGATGTTGCCGAGAAGTCGAGCCACTAGCTGTGGTCAATGTCACCGAGGCCCTTCCAAAGAGAAGACTCTGTTAAGCAGTATGCACAGGAATTATTACAAGGGGTTTTTGTTTGTTTTTTTAATGAGTAGGTAGAAAAACTCAAGAGGTAGTAGTGGGCAAATGCTCATGAACACAATGCATTTTAAGTGCTAATTTAGGAAACAAACTTTGGCGTGCACGTAGGAGGTATTTTGAAGAAGGCACAAAAGGCAGCCCATGGAATGTCCCTGCTCTTTTATCCATCTATCTTACACTTATATAAGAAATGATCTGTTGGGTGAACAATTTCCAAGTTTTATGCTTCTCAACTTCAAGATTTCCATTGCTTCCATGAAGCAAGGGCAGGTGCTACACACAAGGGCTCTGCGACAAAACAAACTACCACCAGCACCCCTCCCACCCACCACCCACCCCAACACACACACCCAAACGCACTGCCATTGAGGGTTTTTTGACCATAGAGCAAAGTAAAACTGCCTGTTTGGGTTTCCGAGGCTGTAAATATA